TGGGAACAGGGTTCTTCCTGAAACCTGTTTTGCTATGAATGTCATCATCTGAGCAACGTGTTTTCCCTCCTGATCTCTTCTGATCTGGCTTTACCCTTTCCAGTTGTGCCTAAGACTTTTTGTGCTGCATCTTTCTGCTTAAGGCATTAACAGTATTCAGACCTAAAGTCATTTAGTCACCTCTCTCCAATTCTCACATTTTTTTCCAGTATGCTTTTGAAATTCTTGGGCTTTTGAAGAAAGCCGGGTCTGCTGTATGCCCAAAGGAGGAGCCGTTTGGATACTCTTCCTTCAGTGACCTCTTCATCTCTCCCTAAATCCATTTCCCCTCCATCATCGTGTTAGTTGGAGAAAACTCAGTGTGTTCCAGATGTTGAGTGATCAAATGGTAACAAAGCGCTGGAAAAAAGAAGTACTTTGTGCTGGGGGATGGGGAGGGAGGACTTAAAACTTGCCGTCTTTGCACAGAGAAGCTACCAGTCCCTGCCTCGCTGTTCACAGCTTCCCAATTTGAGTCCAGAGTTGTGAAAATGTAGAAACTGTGAAAATATGAGCTGTGAACACTGGGAAGCTGTGAACTGGGGGAATGGGTGGGGACTTGCAGTCTCCCTCGAATGCAAGGATTGTAGATTCTGGTTAAAACCTTAATTCTCTGATCAGTAACCCTTCTGGTTATTGCAAGAGCAGGAAAAGCAGCGGCCAAGGTTGCAGGCTTGTCTTTCTTGTAAAAACCTGTCCTTTGCTCATAACTTTCTGGCACTTTTATATTTGAGGCAGGAGTTTTTCGGAGCTGGCCTCTGTTAAAAGGCAAGTTTCATTTGAGCAGAGCCGGTTGGGTTGTTTCTGAGCCTGGAAGTGAGCAGAAATCATGAAACTAAAAAAAAAACTAAAAACACTCCCATTTTATGATTTTCTTTTGAATGGTTTTGCAGCTACAGTGTGAAAGGTGATGTTTCACAGAGAAATAGGCTTGAGTGAGGAGCCGTGTCTGTCATTGTCCTAGGGGAAATTGAGTTTGATTTGACTGAATTATGGGCCTTAGAAAATCACCTGCTGGGCTTGGGCACCGTTGCCGAGCCCGCGCCGGGTGGGAGGGAGGAAGGACTCACCTGGCCGATGGCTCTCGGAGAAAACTTTTGTTGAAAGAGCAGGAGCCCAGTCATGGCCTTAGCAGGTGCCCCGTGGGAAGATCTCTCGAGCTAATAGGTCTCTATTGTAAAATGTCTGAAGCTGGTAGGAGCTGAGAAGATCTCTTTTTCCAGTATGGGTCCAGAAGATGTATGACCATTGTCTTGTGCCTCAAAGTAGGGATAAATGCCTCATTTCGGAAAGCCACTGGCTTAATCTGTGACACACAACCGCTGCATATGTTAAACAAGTGGATGTGAGTACACAGAGGGAGTGTTAAGGAGCTGCCGCGGGATTGCTTGGCAGACACCTGCGTTCAGCAGCCAAGCAACGCGGGCTGAGATCGCACCAACCGCCCAGGCAGCGAGCGCGCGCCTCCGCACCGTCCCTCCCGACAGGCCGGAGTTCGTAGCGCCTTCTAATGCTGCAAAATGTGCATTTAATTTCCCTGCCAGATTGGCTATTCATCACAAGCACGTTTAGGCTTAATTGCTAATTAATTGCTAATTAATTTTCCCTAGGTAATGTAGATATACTTTTTTCCCTTGCATGGGAAACCTACAAGAACTTGTTGAGGCCCTTCCACAAACGAGGTGGTTGTCCTTGGTGTTCTCGCGCTCGGGTGAGACATAACAGTTCATCAGCTCTTAATTAGGCTGGACTTTTTCAAGCGCGGTTTCCAGTTTGTTGACAGAAAGATATGCATACATCTTGTTTCTCCCATAGCCTTGCAAAAGTCATTTTACCTAGAACTGACAAATTGGGCTGCATTTGCCGAGTTTTTCTTCCTCCTGATGGCGGATGGCAAGCTGCCTGCGAGACGTGGATTGCTTGGCCATTTTGGCAGTAAGCGCCACTAGTCGCGGTGGAGAGAGCCCTGGTTATACAAAACAGGGAGTTTGAACTCAGCCTAATTAAATTGTGAACGGGTAACCAGCAGTGCTTGGGATGATACGTTCAGATATGGAGCAGCTTTTTTTAGATAGCTCATCAGCATCAGAGAAATGCCGTGTTTTGTGTCTTTTGGAGGCAAATATCACTCTGGTGGTTGCATAGGTAGGAGAGCTGCAGCAACAGAAAAATGAAGCTGCCGTAGATTAGACAGACCCCAGAAAGTGGCCTGTCGGGACAAATCATCTGCGTGAATGTGGAAAATGGAATTTTTTATTCAAATTTTATGTTACATGCACGCGTTTTCATTTTCCACATAAACGATTAAAATGAAGACAAACCTCTGCTAAGGCTTACTTTGCTCAAAGTCTATTAAAAGCACTAAAACCATACTTAAAAATATTAAACGGTTCATAATTGCAGCTGGAGGAAGCCAGGCTACGAGCGCTGGGAATCAGTTTGCGAAAACGCTGCCCTGCGTTTCTGTATGAGCAGCCTGCGGTGCAGACGCCTAGGGCGTGTTTTCACTTGTTCAATTGACTTTTGCTGGGTTTTAGTTTCATTCAAAGCTGAGAATTAGGAATTAGTAACGTAGGAGAGCTTGTATGGCTGTTCCGGTCTATGAAAGAAAATAAGAGCTGTGAACACGAGCTTTGCTAGTTCTAAAATGCTGGGGGCCGTGTTTAATTGCAGTCGTTTCCGTTTCCTCACTGAAAATACCTTCCTTAATAAAACTTTGTACACGCGATATGCGTTTTTCAAAAACTTTCCTTTCTGAGATGCCTAGCCCACTTTAGGTAATTCGTACAGCTAAAACATGCTGTTTGGTTTTCAACGCATTTTAATTGAGTAACACTCTCCATCTAACTAGAGCTCATCATACATCACAAATAACAAATAATAGTTATATTGAACTCTTTAACTAAGATAATTTAGATTTAAGAATAATATAATCAAGTTTGCTTCATAAAGGCCCTAAAAGTACAAATGTAATTGAAATGAAAATGATTATTTAAATCCTTTTTTCCTCACACTGATTTAAATCATGATTAAAGTCGTTTCTGCAAATCAATAAATTAAGTCAGGCCAGTCCTGCAGTGGGTTCCCCGCTGTGCCGTCTCGCAGGGAGGCGGGTAGCTGGCAGCAGGGGGGATGTAAATACCTGCAGCGGTTGGTAAGGGGAAAATCTCCTCTTATCAGCTTTCCTCTGCTGGATATGCGGCGGGAGAGGCGCGTTTCGCTATCGCTTTTATGAACGCTGAACCTGGGGTGTAAAACGATTCAGTTGTTTGCGCCTAAGCAAGAGCTGGGTGTAAATGCAGGTGAGCAAAGGAGCAGGCAGGAGTTGAACCTTGAACAGGGTAACGTCGGCGCCCGTTCAAAACCACTCGGGCATGACCCTGTCTTTAAATACCTAACGCACCAGGCCTCTTCTCGTGGCAGGGTGTGCAGCAGGCACTTTCTGGGCTCTGAACCGGAGCTGGGACGGTTGTGCAGGTGCGGGCCGGTAGGGAGCTGCTTGCTTTCTAAAAAAAGGTTTCTGTTTTGAAACTGAGGAGGTTGTGGTCTTCTGCAGAGAAAGCTATCACTTGTGTGTGACGGTAAGAGCAGGCGGTGATGGAGAAGTGCCAACCTTTCGAGTCATGTAATGGAAGGCTTTAGGTTATCTTCTGGATTAAATCTTTATCTCACTTCATTCTGGTGCGGAGGATAATATTGACACATGAGGATGTATCGTGACTTGATTCCTACAGCAGGCACTACAGGACGGTCCTCCATTGCCTCGGCAGGATGCAGTCGTCCCGATGTGTTTACAGTGTTTTCTAGTAATGTTTAGCTAATGTCAACTTCTGTGCCAGAAATGGCGAGTTCCTGATTCTGGGTTAAGTGGCATATATGGTGGTAGCTGATAATTATGGCAAATTGTGGTATGTGTAAACAATGCCAGTTGACACATTTTGTAACAAAAACCTACAAATAAACACCATAGCTTTTCTTCTTAGTGGTTTAAGACGTTTCTCAGTTAATGACATCTACGATCCCTTCTTCACCAAGTTATCAAAGTTTTGCCTGTTGGTGGAAAAACTACACGTCTGCCCAGCTATTTGGAACCTCGATGATCAGTCCACTAAAACGGCCATGGCAGGATGATCTGGAAGAAATACCAAAATTACTCTCGTTTGCTATTAATGTGTTTAAGGACAACCTGGTAGTTATATATCTTCTTGGCATCTTTTATTGCATACGAATCTTTCTTACTGTGTTGAGCGCTTGTCTTGACCTGTGAGCAGACACTCAGGCCCCTGGAGTCGCGTGCTCATCTTCCGTGTGCCCAAAATCTGGCACATGCCCTCAAATGTCCTGCGCGTGTGAGCTCATCATGGCAGTGCAGAAGAGGAGCTTTTAGTATCTTTCATATTGACAACTCTGTGCCAGAATGACTTCTGTGGTGACTTACGTACACAGGTCAGCATGACCGTCCAGCCAGAAGTCCGGTTACAGAGCTGACATTTAGCGGTAGCCATGCAGCATCGCTCTAGGATTCCTGCAGGCTGCACTCGGACATGTCCACATCCACCCCATGGTCTCGCGCCCTGACTGACTTGATTGCTGTCTGTATACTAACTGGGGGGAATGTGCTCCTGAGCGTGACAGCATGGCCTTTTGCTGCTGGAGCAATGCCAGACGTCCTCAGGAGACGCACTTTCGGGGAAGAGCACATCCTCAGTTTTGGGTCTAGGTAAGGCTGACAGATGAGGCAGACCACCGTTCCCTGGCACTGGCAATGAGGGAATTCCTTCTTGAGTTTTCTCAGCTAAGACTCAGGACTGGGAGGATGGGTAAGGTCAGCTGGAGAAGAAGCTATATCAGCAACTTGTTTTACAGTGCACTTAGTTGTGCTGCCAGAAAATGCAACCCGTTAGATTCCTGCTTGTCCAGCTGATCCATCACTGTCTCCTCTTTTCTCTCTCTCTCTCTAGGTTATTTCCAGGATTTGCTGAACAAGTCAGAAAAGGCCCTTTATGATGCTTTCCCAAGCATGTATGGAGAATTGTACACGCAAAACGTCAAGGTCTTCAAGGATTTGTACAGCGAGCTACGCCGCTATTACAGGGGCTCCAACATCAACCTGGAAGAGGCCCTCAATGAGTTCTGGACGCGCTTGCTGGAGCGGCTTTTCAAGCTGATGAATCCCCAGTACCACATCACAGATGAGTACCTGGACTGCATGGTGAAACATGCGGAGCAGCACAAACCCTTTGGGGAGGTTCCCAGGGACCTGAAGGTGAAGGCAACCCGAGCCTTCATTGCAGCACGCTCCTATGCCCAGGGCTTTCTTGTGGGCAGCGACGTGGTCAAAAAGGTCTCTCAGGTATGTGTGCGTTCTTCCTGGCTTTTCACCCTCAAATTAGCAGGAGTCGGTCAATTATTTTTGGTTGGGAGGAGGCGGGGGGATTTTTCTTGCCTTAGATTTTCATCAAAAGGCGAGGAGGCATTTTTCAGTTTCATAAAGGACTGCTTGAGGGTCACCCGTCAGCAGAAAGGAACAGCCAGCCAGGACTATTGCAAACACTGAGAGCGCGCAGGAGGAGCGAGCTGTAACTCACCACAGATCAGACTTTACCTCGTTTTAACCTGTGTGGCGGAGTGCCAAGGAGATGTCAGTCTCCCGGCCTGTGAAGTTGCTTTGTCGCTTGCCTAGGTTCCTGGCGCTTTCCCAGCAGAGAAGATGACATGCCTTCAAATCACGCTGGCTGCTTTCCTTCCTTGGTGGTGGTGTGATGCAGGGTATGCAGATCCGACTTACAGAGAGGGCACTGGGAATACCTGCCAAGAGATGTGTTTCGGTGGCGGGCGAAGGGGTTCCTCTGTCCGTTTAGGTAGCCGCCTATAGCTTCTGCATACAGCAGTTTTGTGAAGTGCATTGGGATCTTCAGGGATGAAAGGTGCTATATAAATGTAAATTAACATGACTGAGTCGAAGGTTTTAGGAGGAAGAAAATTGTCTGTGTCCTTTGCTACAGAAGCAGCTTTTCAGAGCCAAAAGAAAGTGATGGTCGTGAAACAAGATACTCATGCTTCTCACACGAGCCTTTTTCCTCTTTGACTGAAAACAGTGACTAGTGAGGAGAAGTTGCATTCGAAAAAAGTAGTTGCGTATTCCATGTGAAGGTGGCAATCAGCGGGTACGAGACTCAGGGTGAGATAAAACTGTGAGTGTAAAAATACAGAATTGCAATTAACTTCCTTGGAAGACGATGCTTAGCAGAGGACAGTGCTGTTTGATGCAACAAATTCAGACTTTGATCTCAGGAAGAAACTTTACTGTGTTAACAAACAGTGACAAATGCTTCAATTTCTCAATGTGGACCTGTAAAACTCCTCAGCCACCCAGCAGCCTTTGTACATATCATTAACATCACACTCACCTGACACTGAAGTCAGATAAAAGAGGAGAAGGGTGCAATTACAGGGAGACCAAAGTAAAATATTTTTCATAAGTCCTGTGAACGGCTGATTCTGCTGTTGCCAGGTCTGGGTAACGGTGGCTGATAGGCGATTGCAGCCATGACATTAGTGGAAGGGATGCCGATGTGCAGCATTTCCCCCCCACTTTCCCGTGGGCTTTCCATCCGTTGAGTTTCCATTCCAGTGGGGGGACGTGACCAGCCGCCGAAGGACTAGTAGCGTTTTGTGAGTGGGTAAATGCCCGCATAAGATACAGGGCATTAGAGAGTGTCTGGCCAGCATCCGTGAGAGCTAAGCACAGCATTTTGAGGTGTTTTCACCCAAAAATCTTTGTCAGCGTGCAGGTATGAATTTTTTCTCGTGTGCGTCCTGATGACAAGTTACACGTTTCACCTCAAAACCAGTCGTTCCCTTTATTCACAACTGTTATTGATCCAATAGATGTCCTGCTAACCTTAAAGGGAAAAGCTGTCCGGAGTCCCGGTCTTCCAGAGGAGACACCGAGCACTTTCTTTGGCCTGCACGAGAGCCGCAACCAGTGCTTTGATTTTAGTTGTTTTTCATGTCACTTTATATTTATGACATTAGGAGAAAGCCTGTAAGCCCTTTACTAAGATCAGAGACTGAAACTAAGCTTTCCTGTCGGCTGGCAGTGTTCTTTAAAAATAACTCTTTGAGCTGAATGTCTCACAGACCGGTGCTGAATATTTTGCTCAGGAAGTGTGGGGGAAACCTGCTGGAATGGACCAGTAGAAATAAATTACTTGGCTTTGGGCTTCTGAAGCGTTTTATCTTGGGGCACAAGAGAAGAAACATCCTGCTTTTGCTCGGGATTCTTCCTTTCGTTTTGGGATTGGCAGCTGCCCCGAAATAGCATTTGCTGCAGCTCGGAGCTTCGTGTGAGCAGGTGAAGGCCTCGTGCTGAGACCTGCTGGCTGCCAGCCCTGCGCTTGGTCCAGGGGCTGGCCCAGGTCAGCCAGTGGGAGACGAAGCACAACTGAGACAATAAATTGCAAGGACTGAGAGACAAACACCTTAGAAACCAAAAGCAAAAAACCCCTGGAGAGATGCAGTGTGATCAACAGGAATATCCAGGCTGGTCTTGCTACTTATTACTTGCATTCAGATGCTTCCCAAAATTGGGCAAGTCCCAGGTCAGAACCGTTGCATGCCATGCTGTGGGAGGACAGTTAGCAGAGGTGATGCTGTCTGCACCAGCAGGCCAAAAAGTGCCGTGAGGAGCACACGGGTGGTTGCCAGCCTCTGGCACTTCAGCATGGGAGGTTGACAGCGGACGGGAGGAGAGGTGTCCCCGTGTGGGCCGAGTCACGTCTCAAACCCGCAGAAGTGTCCAGAGTCCTCAAAGTCCTCTTGGAGACCTGGAGAACCTGCTAATCCTGGGTCGGAGCACAGGAAAAGTAAAGAAATAATGTTTAGTTTCCAAACAGGGAGGGGAAGAGTTGTCAAATGCATTTTTCTCATCTGTCAGAAAATGAATTATTAGAACAATCTTTCTTTTTCCAATTCTCCCCTGCTTTCCTCCTCTGAGTCTTAAGTTTCCCTGTGGTGGTGTGGGTTGGTGTATATGAATGCTATTTACATCAGCAGGAAACATGTACATCATCAATTTTAATAGTGGTTTGCATTTCTTTTTCTGAGTTAGCGTCCTTAAAGAAGGCTGATTCTCATTTTATTTTGAAACTGAACGTGGTGGTGTTCTTTACTAGTTATAAGCTTTTCACTAAACCTGCTATTTCGTTTTACTAAGGAAGATTGTCCGTCAGTACACTTTTGTTTAAGCGCTGCTGTGTCTTACTGTACATAGCTGTCTTATTTTTTAGACTTTCGTGTTATGTATTGTAAATGGCGACGTTCTCATTTACCATATGAGTGATTTTCAAACACATGGTGCATCAAGCTATGTTTGGATGGAAATCTAATTCCAATTAAAAAGGCATCAAAATAGAATTTTTAAATGTGTTGAATAGTTAAAGGAGCGTGCTGGATACATGCAGGAAATAATGTTTCTCTAAACACGCTTTACATTTCCTGCAAGTTGATAATTTAACAAAGACAACAGGATCGTTCCTGGTCTTCAAGTAGAATTTATACAACCCCTCTCTCCTACCGCATTTTTATTCATAGCTTGGAAGACGATAGTTGGGGTGCCCACAGTGGTGAACGCATCCTTAGGTATTTCACAGATGTCTTTTTATATGCAGTATTATGTTTAAATCGGAAGCCTTTAGGGATAAAAACCCATGGGTGTTTTAAATATGGTAGAAATAGCGTAGGCAGGGACAGACGCAGGCAGTCCGCGCGTCCTCCCACTTACCAGCAAACACCAGCTCTGGTTTGCGTGAAGGGCACAGATGTGGTGTCCGCCTTCATCCTCCGTGTCCCTTTGCCCCACGCTGACCCGAGGGGCTGGGCTGAAAGCGGCAAGGGGAGGCGAGAGGGCTCTGCAGGGGCTCCCAAACTGCAGGGGCTCCTGGGCCCTGCTTGCTTTCAGATCCTTGAGAGAGATGTTGGAAACGTGGCTGATGCATCTGGAACGATGGCCTTGGTGATGCTTAAAACTCACTGTGCTCTCATGGACGCGTTGTGTAAGGAAGATGCAAAATAACTGAAGTGATTATACAGTTCATTAGACTTTGGAAGAGTCGCATTTCTGTCAGCCCTGCAGCTGATTCTTTTGAAGTTTTATTCTGGAAGGTTGGAAGTCTTGGTTCATTTAACACACATCAAGGTGCTAATTGCATCAGGACCGGCGCAAACACGCACAAGGCAGCTGCCGCTGACCACGCGGCGCAGAGAGCTGGGCTGCGCCGCCCCGCGCGGGGAGCCGGGCGCTCGTGCCCCAGTGCCCGCAGCAGCTGTGGCCCTGGCCCCCAGCTTCCACGTCTGCCAGTGGAAATAGCAGCACCCACTGCTCTTATCGTAGCGCTTGAGGAGAGACCGTAGATACTAAACGTTCCCCAACGTGCAGTCGCCGTGTCCCTGATAGCCCAGGCTCAGCGCCGGCCCGCTCTTCAGCCCGAGGCAAGCCTGTCGAAGGCAAGAGCTTCTTAAAAGCGAGGGAAATACCTCGCTCAGCCGCTCTTCTCAGGGTTGACCTGGCAGGAGGCTGTTCCCATGCTTGGCCTCTTTTTGTACTGGCCGTTTTTCACACTGACAACATTATCGCAGACTTGAAGTTGACTTCCCGGTCTGTAAAAGTGTAAGTCACTGGCTTAGTTTTAAGACCTTGTGGTGCACAAGAGTAGCCCTAAAGCAAGGGTCTGCTGTAGGGGTTTCCAGCTGCAGGTCCTGTCTGTCATTAGCTGTCGAGGCCAAACGCCCGCCTGCGTGCTAGAAAGCTGCCTGTTACCCGCTGTCTTTAAAGCATCACTTGGTTTTGATATACAAGGTGATCGCTGTTGCTAGGTTTTGCTGGTGCTTCTGGAGGTTAAAATGGCCATTCAAGCAGTGAGTCATTCCACCTGAAAAAACATACCTGAGTTAGTGCGGACGTATTTTTGACTTGTATTTTTTGCTGCAAGGAGAGCATCACAAGAGCTGCTGGAGTGGTGCAGCCTCGTTGTCAGAGCTGTGCTTGGTGGAGACATGGTGATGGAGCTGAGTAGAAATCAGGTCGTGAAAACTGCAGTGCCCCTGAGCGGGGCTGAGCACCGTCTGCAGGGCCCAGGCAGATTGTTCCTGAAGAGGCCTCCAGCCCACCTTTCCTTTTTCCTCTTGTCTCTGCAAGCCGAGGCAAGGCTTGTCAGGGTCTGCCACAGCCGCAGGTGTTTCCTGAGTCACCTTTCTCCCTGGGGTCATGTTTGATGCTCTCTGCTCACCTGTTCCTCCCTCGGCTCAGGCCCCTGCTTGTTCACCTTAAAAAAAAAAGAGGAAAGCAGCAGG